TTAAGCATTTGAATGGTTAAGTGAGAACKTAATGAATAACTAATGGTACTCACCACCCAGGCCAATGGCAGCTGCTAGGGTTACTGCAAGGAACAAACCACAGATATATGGGAAGTATTTTAGGGAGGCAAGAGCATGGCACATTGAAGGYGGTTCGATTTCTCCTAGAAAACAGAGGGAACAGTTTCTGTGAGGTTAAATCAGCTGAWCTCACAATGAAAAAGGTTTATCTAACATTAACCTCAAAGGCATCAGTAACTCCTGCTACACAGCTGACTTCTCCTCGAGGGGTTTGGATCCCATCTCATGGACTGTGAAGGCTCCAAGTGCTTTGGGGCTGCTGGTGCTCTCAGACACCTCTTGATTATTTGCCTTGGGAGGGTCTGAATTGTGTCCCTGCAGAGCACCTGGCCTGTCCTCAATGCAATCAACAATAGGAACTCCACATTTTCTTTTTTGTGGGCTACATCACACGGTGATCTTTTCAAATGTGTGAGCACCTCTGCTGGAAACAHGAGTCCCAGGATAAAAATGAAATTCAGACCTGTTTTGCCTGTGTAATCAAACCTGTGTGCTGTTCATAAATAGAAGTTCAAGACAAGGAGGAGGAAAGTCACTAGTCCTTCTGCAGTTGGAAGCAAGGTTAACTGAAAATGACAGAAAGCCAAATTTGCAAAAAAAAGCAGGAACCCCTAACTAGTCTTGAAAACTGTGAAAAAGTGTTCTGCTCAAAATTTGGCTATAAGGGCAAGAAGAGAACTGAGTGATGGSTCAAGGCTGAATCTTGAGGTTTTTAAGTACCAAAGACACATCGAAAGTTAAAATGTGCATCAGTAGTTATTGCTGACTGCATTTCATGAGCTGGACCTGTTCACCAACTACTGACCTCCAGAGCTGACCTTGACTTCATGGTATTGTCAGTCTGGAAGAGATTCTGCTGAAAATAATGAATAGTTCACTTGTTTCAAATTTATTCTCATATACAAAGGGCAAATTGTAGGGAAATAACAAACACAGCTGGATCATGGGTGAACACTTGGCAGAACCTTGTCTTTAATTTTAATTCATACAGCTCTTATTTCCCCACTCCCCAGGCTTTGAAATTGAGATTGGCAGGCACAACCAGTCAAGGATAAGGGTTTATAGACTCTCTAGTAAATCCCAACTTCCTCAGACTCYCTCAGCAGCAGCTGAATAACTAGTTTTGGCAATGGAATTGGTGTCTGGTATGCCAGAAATCTTAGACAGCTGCAGCAGCTAATGGACTAGAAAATTTAATTGCTTTACTTCCATTCTGGAAGCTCAGCCTGCCTCTCTTGAAGCCAAGGGTTATTTTGAACCCTATGGGAAGCAGCAAACAGACACTCTAATCCTCCAAGGCTGCTGCACTGCAGGTTTTTTAATGGACCAATTTCCAGGCTGGCAAAATTCCAAACAAGCCATTCAAAAATGTGTCTGAAAAGTGTGGGGAAACGTTTGCTTCTGTGTGAATAACCTGGCAGTGAGAAAAGCTTGTGCGTGCAGGTCRACACAAGATGTCATCGCGTTACCGAGCTGGCAAACCTCACACCTGGGGGAGGAAGGTCGTGTTTCCTCCTCCTCCTCTGTGTGATTGCTTTTCTGGGTGAGCAAGCACAGTTTTGCACACAGTGGCCATGGGGATGGCAAAGGTCAGAGAGCTGGGCATTGTCCCTACCGGATCCATCTGCGCTCGGATCCACTGTTGCTTGCGGTATGAAGAAAAACCTTTTGAAGGTAAATTGAACTTGTGGTACTGGCGGTTCATCTTCTGCAACGGAGATGATTTCAAGACTTCCAGTAGCAGGATTTGTCTCTTGAACCTGGCTCAACAGGAGAAAAAAAAAAAAGAAAAGAAAAAACGAATAAAGTCATCTTAATGTTATTGTCATAGTCACAGAATGGTTTGTGTTGGAAGGGACCTCAAAGATCATCTTGTTCCACCTTCCACTGTCCCAGGCTGCTCCAAGTCACAATGTCCAGCCTGGCCTTGGACTTTCCAGGGGTCCAGGGGCATCCACAGCTTCTCTGGGCACCCTGTGCCAGGGCCTCYCCACTGTCACAGTCAAGAATTTCTTTAAATATCTCATCTAAACCTCGCAGCCCCCTCTAGATATTGGAAGGTCACAATAAAGTCTCTCTGRAACCTTCTTCAGAATGAACAAYCCCAACCCTCTCAGCCTTTCCTCAGAGCAGAGGTGCTCCAGCCCTCTAAGCATCTTCCTGGTTTTCTCCAGACTGGCTGCAACAAGTTCCACGTCCTCCCAGTGCTGCAGACTCCACAACTGCACACATTACATTGTTATCTATTTCATTTTCATGAGAGGTGCACTTATAATTAATTTACCAGTAAACTACTAAGGTTAATTTTTGTGCATATTTGTCTAAGCACCATAGCTACTTTTAAGAACTCCCTCTGGGGGTGTGAATCYGTCCCCTGCTCCATAATTGCAATAGGAAACAAGAGAAAGACTAAAGTGCAGAGGACACCAGCACAGCACCTGCCGGGATCCTCATTCAGGGGAATTCTACTGCAGTTAACTTTTGATGACTTATTACATAGTTWAAAAAAATATTAAAGCTAGCTATACTAGAATTCAGGGCAGATAGATTTAAAATGCTAATTTCTGACTCCAGTTCTGCACAATGGCCAAAGCAATCAGATTTTTTAACTCAGAGTGGTGTGAAACAGGTCCAGGTTTGTTAAAGTCAGTGGAGATGGTAAGCTGTAAAAGCAACATATTTGCAGCATATTGTCAGTCCCACAAAATGCTTACAATGACACATTTTAGGCAAAGAATACATACTTTATCTGTGACACTACATCTTTAAGTCACCTGGAATATTTTTTCACCTTTCAGGAAACAACTGCAAAAGGGTTTATGCTTTTTCTTTTGGTAAAATTTCATGTGCATTTCAAAGAGCATAAACTTTGTAGAGAACCTGCTAGCATAGATTTTAAATATTAAAACCAAAAAGCCTTCTAGCTGGTGCATAATTTGCCCATCAGGAAACAAAACTGCATTGTGAAGTAAATTACACTCAAGCAGAACACTGACACTTCGCTTATTCAGAGGCCATCACATGCTCCCAAAMCTTCACTCACCTCTTCCTGAGAAGTCATAATTAAAAGCAAAACTGTTTTCCTTCTTCATCATCAAAAGCAGCCCAAAGGAAGTTGGGAGTTTGCTGAGCCACTGTGCTCTGGGAGGGTTTCCAGCCGTCCGTGGCGCGCGGCATCGCGGCCGCAGCCCGTGTAACCCAACCCGCGCGGGGGTATCGGGTGGCCCCGGATGGCATGGCTACGGAAAGGGGGAGATAAAAATTCAGCACGCAGCTTAATTAGCCTAACAACACCAGGAAATGCTGTAGTATTGCAAACCTKCCCGTAACCCCTCAGCAAAGGAGCTCCACAAACACCACACGAGGGTTTGCTCATCTTCTGCCAGAGCTGAGTGCCAGGAGCTGTGGCAGCAGCAGTCCCAGGGTTTCATCTCTTCAGCACACAAARCTCACAGGCTCACCTTGCTGCTCCTTCACTTGGTTTAGCCTTTTAGCCTGCAAGCACAGGGTTTTTGAAAATGCAGTGTCTCGTGTTGCTGAAGGATCAACTTGGTTGTACTCTGGGATTTAGAAAATGGAAATGTGCCTTCAGCTGCAAAGAGTGCTCAAGAGAAGCAATAATTTGGCTTGGTTGTTTTCACTTAGAGAGATTGATGACAAAGGAAAGGGTGGAGGGAAGAAGGAGAAAGAAAGATGACACAAAAAGCCACAGGAGTGTAAGTAAAACAAGGCCAGGGAGGAAATTAAAGTTTCCCAAGATAAAACCCATGTCCCTGGAACACAGCTGAGATGAAAGCAGCTGTTCAGTCCCTTTGCTGTGCACGATGGAAACCAGCACTTGCAAAGGAGAGGATGCCATATCATAATCCTGTTAACTTWACCCCTGACATCAAGAATTCTTCATCATCTCCTGTGTCACTCTTYCARCAGCCTTCCCTGGAAATGGGGACAYTCTCCCCACCAGGCTTCAGATTGTTCAGATGGTTCTCCAAATAGCTGGAGAACCAGCTTAAGCTGTCCAGGTACCCCAAGAGGTCTTAAGCCAAAGTGGGAAAATGTGAGGGCTCATTTCAGGAGACCAGAAACTCAGGTGATCCTTTCAGTCCATGGCTTGAGGGCTCCTGTCCTCCACAACGAACACTGATACCTGCGGTGGGGGCAGAAAAAACTGTCTACAACCAATTCACCCACTGTGGCCATGCTGGAAAATCTGGGGACCAACCAGGGCAACTCTGCAAAGGCTGCCACAGTGGGACTGGCACTGGAAAGGACAAATCCTTGTCCCTTCTTCCACCCTGAGCTGCTCCCAGCTCAGCCTCGGTGTGTGATGTCCAGATTGGACATTGGGTTTAATCTTTCACTGAGCTGGGTTGCTCATTGCCTTTGGTGAGAAGACCAAAGCAGGAGCCATGTGTGAYATGGACAGGGAGACATGAAACTGAGCCCAAAAGGAAAGTTTTGGCCTCCAGATAATTTCTTACATGCTGCAGGACAGCCCCACTTGCGTTCCCCACAGTGCAGTCACAGCTGGGGTGGATTTCTTGGCTTGCAGGAGACAGTTTAACATGAAAAGGTAAAAGATTCCATCTCAGCCCCTTCAGCAAGCCTACTGTGACTGTGGTGGTTACTTGAGAGCTTCTCATCTTCTTCTGCCGGGGTGGATGGGTAAAGCCTGCAGATTGCTTTTGCTTTTTTAGCCACCCTACAACAAAAATTCAGAGACGCACATTCTATGAAAACAGGATGTCAGCTTCTGTCAGAAAAGATCACAAGGGGTTTGAGGGTTTGGGGTTTTTTTTTTAATTTTTTCTGCCTCTTTGTCTCTTTCATTTTCTGATTCCCTCCCTCCCTCCCTTGAACCCTCCTCCCACCTCCTGCTTTCTGCCAGCACCGAGCACAGGCAGAGGGGAGGACGGAGGCGATGGCGGTGGCGGAGGCACAGCTGTAYGCAAAGGTGACCAACAAGCCCAGGAGCAGGAGCATCTCTGCACTTCTCGAGCCCCTCCTCGCCAAAGGATTCCCGGCCCACATTGCGTGAGTATGCTCAGCTGCCTTTGCACTGTGAGATTGATTTAAGATATGAGGTGTTTCCCATGAAATCCCAATAAAGGCAGCTTGGTTTTCTCATCAGGAGAATGTGCTGCTCCTGGGGGTGATGTCCTGTCTTGCTCTGAACTTTATATAGAGCAGCGTCTATTGCCCATATAGCAAAACAAACCTGTTCRATGTCCAGTTTTTTAAAATACTGTGCAAATCTAAAGGCTCACACCTTTCAACATTCTAAGTYTGAGAGGCTYCTCAATGAGTTGAGAAGTTGGCCAYAGTTTGCTCTTGGGATWCATCCTCTTTCWTTTTTTTYTGSTTATCACTCTKATTATAATGGAATTAAACATGGATGTAATTTMCAGCCGAAGATTTTTTCAGGCAAAAATCCCCTGCAGGATGGTGACACTGGAACTGTTCTAAAAGCTTTCCTTAACAAGATGCCCCCTAAGTCTGTCAATTGTTCTTCCTGTCTTGATTCTTGAATAGAAAGTGTAATAGTTAAGAATGAGACACAATTCTTGGCAATGGATGAGAGAGYAGCTGATGGCAGAKAAGTTAATAAAAAAGAAAARTGCTGSTCACTCCTTCCCCAAACATCTCTCYWGTTGGACAGGCAAGTTTTGGGGAGGATTTTCCGACTTCTGAAGGGCAAATATGGACATTTTTGGTTCMAAC